ACAGTGCATGGCAACTGACAGGAAACACAATAACCTTTTCAGCTGAGTGAACGTATCCAGTTCAAGCAATTACAAGAGAATGAGGTGGGCCAGGGTCGGCTTTTGTTTCAAAGGTTAACGTACTTACATCAAAAGTCCATCCCGCGCTTGAGAGATTTCTCCTGTCAATGGAATGAACAGCTAGTAACAAGTGAGCTCTAGTGAAGAGTATACAGTACATGTGCATAGGGTCATGTGGGATATTCAGTTACAACACGAGTCCTTTTAATGGTTAGCAATTCTGTAAAATTCTATCACCTGTTTACTGATTGCATTTTCCAGAAAATATGCGGCTTTGCTTCCAGTGCAAAATGATGTGATTGCGTTTAACAAAACATATAAAAATCAATATTTTTGTAACTTTGAAAGAACAATGGGTTGGCACAGAAACCAGAAATAGTCTGAACCAGAGGTCATCAACATTTTTTCAGGCAATGGAACCCTAAACTAATGGAAGATGAAGCAGAAACCAGTCTACTATGTCCATCCATCTGTTTTCTACCACTTAATCTTTTGCCGGGTTGGGCAGTAACAGGAGCCAGTCCCTGCAGTCCAAACTCTAGGGTAGTGGACACCCTGGACAGTTCACCAGTCCATCACAGGGCCATTTATAGAGGCAAACAACCACTGACTCTCACAGTCATACCAAGAGTCAATTCAGAGTTTCCTATCACTCTAAATTGACCATATGGTTTGTAGTACATGTTAAACTGGGCCTAGCGCCATCTAGATGCAGTTTCATTTAAACCACAAGGTACAGTTAATAAGTTAACAAACATACCTGTCAGCTGATATAATCACTGTCGTGCTGTCAAGCTGTTAAAAAAACCAACAAGCACATCCTATAAAGGACTATTTTCTGCACCACTCCCTGTTTAAGAGCTCAGGTCTTAACTACAGAAACAGTGTCTATCGCTGATGAGCCAAGTCCAATAAAACTGTGGTTTCAGTATTAAACTTGCCCACAGGACATCTAGGTAACAAATCAGTAGGACAGCAGATAAGGACATCCCCAAACAGTTGACACGTCCAGGGGAGGAGAAGAGAAAGTCATAGTAATTATCGTGCTGAATGTTCTATTATTGAACTTTTGAACCACACACTCCAAGCCCTGGAGATGATTTAATGATCTCCATTCTGATTCTGCAGAGCTGTCAGACTCAAGTTACCTGGAGATGGATGAGCAGCCAGGCTAAATGAAAAAAAAAGAAAAAAAGTTGTACAACTGCTGCTCTGAAATTACTTTAACAACAGGAAGCACTTGCTTTGTTTACCATGCTTACAGTGATGCTAGTGGTGATTTGGGATCTTTGAAAGATACGCATTTAGAAAACATTGACCTTTTTTTCTTAAGGCTATTGAAATCTATCTATAAAACTGTAGGGTTTGCAGTAGCACTGGTACTTTTTATAGTTTGTACTTGTTTAAAATATTGTAAAGTGTAACATAATGTAACATAATGTGTATGTAGATTGTAGTGAATTTAAAATAACAACTAGGGGCTGTGGTGGCCTGGTGGTAAAGGAAGCAGACTTGTTAATAATAAAAACCATAAATTAATAAACAAATACACAAACATAAAACATACCCCTCTTCCCCCTCTCTTCTATGTGTACAGACCATAAACAATTAATAAGTGTTGTTTTCTTTTTCTTTTGACGTGTCACTTCCTGTGTTGCTGCCTGTGACATAAATGCCAAGCCAACTGCTGAACGGCATTCATTTTTACTTTTCAGCAGCAGCATTTAATCTGCCAATGCCTCTCCTCATTAATTCATTTTCTTGCCTCCCATCAATGTCTCTCCTATGCAAGCCAATTAGTTACACTAGCACTAATTAAAGCCCTGGCAATTCTGCAGCGGTCAATAATTAGAATGAACGAAGGCTGGAAGAGTGACACAGCTGTGAAATAACAGACATGCATCATGGCGCTGTCTCCGACACCTCATTGAGAAAATAAAATTTGGTCAAAATGAGAAAATAGAGACTACGCACAGTAAAGAATGCAAACTATTTTCCACAGGTAGTTTTCTTTAGTCTCACCACCTTTAATGGTCCTGTCAGTGCAGCTTTTTTTCATGTAAAATAAATGCTGCGGATGTTGACGACGACGTGACCTTCATTCAGTAAAATAGTACACTTCAGAGAGTGACACATTTTCCTCTGGGAAAAATGCCACTTCCATTAGTGCAGCAATTTAGAGGCACTGTTAGCTGAAAATACAGTTTGTTTGGTTTTTTCTTTCTGAAAGAATCCTGGCTGATAGTGTGGCACAGTGAAGCAAGGCTACATCAAGTAACAGATATTCAGTTAGTGTCAAGGTTTCTTTTATCAAGATAAGCCATTTACAATAAGCGGTGTGTATTGGCAAGAATCTGACGATGTGATATTTATCACGATACAGTACTGTGCTACTAATATCAATATATTCAGTGAAAATATCAATATATATATAGATATTTTTCTTACACCGTCTTAAAGACAATACAAAAACTGGCTTCAAGGAAAAGTAGGTCACTAAAGTTTGCCACACATTTGGTTCTAGTAGCTGTAGTCTACTTATACTACAACATCCTGCCTTGTTGCCTTTCGTCTGTGAAGGTCTAAAGCCTAAGTTGACAAGGTTCATCCCAAAGATTTCTACAGATGCAGGCGTGGTTACATGGTCTAGATGTATACACACGTAGGTTTATACCCATTTAAAAGTTGCACTTTCTAATATTTACAACTATTGGAAGCAGGTCATTGAATCAACACACTCCTTTTTAGGTTTGTGAAGGAAGATGGAGCCAATCCCAGCAGTGTGGTCCAGACGCCATAAAGAAAAACCTCAGGTCACCACTTCAACCAAACAGGTAATCTCTTTGCTGGGAGTCAGCAGAACTCTAGGCACAGTGATGTAAATGCATTTCCTGCCAAGGAGCTAACACTAGTCAATGCAAAAAGCATGTTGGCCTTTTAGCTCCTGACATCAAAGAAATGCACTTCCTTCTACAGTACACCCAGTCAAATACACAGCGTAGTTCCAGTCTACTCTGTCTGTGTTGTCTTTTTTCAGTTAGACTCAGTAGAAACCCTTCCCTACTTTATTTGACCTGGTTAAAAAATCCCATGTGACTAAAAAAAACCTTTTCAAGCCAGACCTCGTGAGACAGGGTGCAGCATAAATAAAGCAGTGAGTTGTAAGTAAAAGGAAAGCCAACTAAAACAGCGAGGTCTCCGACTCAACCTGCCTCAAAATTCATTTTCAATCTAAAGCCTGTCAATAAGCTTTGGTTACAAGTCCATCTACAGGTCATGGGGTCAAAATATGAGACCTTTACTGA